GATTCAGTTTTAAAAATACAAAACTATTGCAATATTGTCTGATTGATTGAAAAAAAAACTCACCGTTTGTAGAGCATTTATCCCGGAGACTCCAAATGGGATATTGGGATGTCGTTGAAGTTGTAGATGGATGGATGGGTAAACGGAGAGATTCGATGCTATAATTACTCCCTCCTTTCCCGTCTTTCCTCTCTTTTCACCACTTCTGAATTCGAAATTGTATGTCTAAAAATATTGTGATTCTGCCATAGAAACCGCGTGTGAAAAGTAAAATATAATAAAATAGTGAAATATGTGAAAAGTTGAGATAAACAAAAGTAAAATACTATAAGTTAATTAAGATAAATAAAAGTAAAATATTATAGGATAATTACTTAGATATTGTAGTATAAATCAACAAAAACATTAAACAATTTGAGAGGCATCAAAGTATTCTAAAAGAAAAAGAATAAAGCTAACAATAAGACATTTTCGAAGATAACAATAAGACATATTTTGCAAATGTTTTTATAGTAGAACATATCAAATATGGGTACTTGTTGACTTTTTGGTACTTGTCGGCTATACATCCACACAGACTCATCTCGGTTAAGAAAGAAGCTGACAATTTGTGAGGGTTGATTATATTCAGTGAAATAGCTCGTCTGAAGTGATCAGTAGATCAGTCGAAGGGAAATCGATAACCGAGAAGGCTGGAGATATTCGCATGGAGATGTTTAACTGAGATGAGTCTCTGTGGATGTATAAACGATAAGTACCTTTTTTTGAACTTAAATAGCAAAACTGTTAAACGTAAATAGTAAATTTTTAATAAATATCCGTTCATTTGAACTTGGGAAATGGGAAAAGAAAAGAAAATAGACTAGGATTGGTTTATTTTGAAAAACACTTGGCCAGATGGCTAGAAAAATTCGATTTAGATTGGATAATTGAGAAATTTTCTTAGTAATATTGTAAAAATCATTTAGCTCACCCAATTTTATTTTATGCTATTTGGATGTTACTATTAAAAACTTTGAAAAAAAAAGGGTTTGTTGTAAAAGTAATGCGGTTTCCTTGATTGCAGATTAGTGATCGTGATACTTTGCTTTAAATTATGGCAAAGTCATTGGCTAAAGAAAATCTAGAGCTAACATTAAATTCAGCGATTCACTTAGAAAATCACAAGAGATTTAAATCTAAAGTTTCTTTCTAAATGGTTGGATAATCTTTAAATTATGACATTAGATTCATTTTTAAAGAAACAGTTTGATTAAAATTGAGCACATAGAATTTAAGATTTAAACAAACGAATTGGTAAAACCGTAAATACTATAATAGTACCCCCATTCCTATAACGGTGCGGAGTGTTGCGTAGTTTAGCTTTGAACGAGTTTTTCTCGACACTGGTTTATGCTACAATGCTCGTTTAAATATCAAAAAATAGCCCTGAATTTCAGCTATTTTTTGATACCAAAGACGCATTTTTTGAAAGTACGGGCGCTTTGCAAAAAATTAAATACTAAAAAACTTTTGCGACTACGCGACTGTACGAGGGGGGTGAGGTACTATTACAGTATTTACGGTAAACAATTTGAGTTTAAGTCTAGAGCTAAAATAGTAATCCATTCAAGAATGGGATATCAAAATAACAAGAATAGTAGAGTTTTTGTGGGTAAAAAGATGTAGATAGAAGATAAAAAGAAAAGAAGAGAAGAGAAGAGAAGAGAAGAGAGGAGAAGAGGCAAAAGGAAGCTGTGAAAAAGTTTGCTGAAGAAAAAAAAGTGAAAAAAGAGAGGATTGGGGACGAGCAGAAGAAGAAGAAGAAGTGGAGAAGAGGCCGGGAATGGGATGGGAGACAGGGCCCTAATCACACCCATTCGTGTCTCTGCAGCCCCTTTTGGCCAGAAAAACCCTGCCCAGATATGTACAAGAGTGGAAAATGGAAAAGACAAATGAATCTCTTCCAAAATTCATTCTAAATTCACTTCCACATTTTTCTTGGCACTTTTGCGTTTTGTTGAAACAACTGCTGACAATTTGAGCGTAATTTTTGGAATTTGAAATAGAAAAGAAGATTTGAGGAATAGGAATTAGGGAGAGCTGAGTGAGTCAGTTATTATAAAAAGTTTTATTTCTAAATATAAGAACTTTGAGGACTCGTTGACTTTTGATAAATTTAGCTCATTGATGTCAAAGTGTCATTGATGTCATTGATGTCATTGATGCCATTTAATGTCATTGATATCATTTAAAATGTTTCAGTTTTTTTAATCTATAAGTTGAAGGAAACAAATTTTTCTACTCAAAAAGGTTATTGAAAAAGAAAAATCGCTGGTCACTTTGGACTCTCGAAAGTTTTATTATTCGATTGTTCAGTGCAGGTGAATGGTAAGTCAGATGTTAAGATGTCAGATGTTAAGTCAAATATTATTCATTAGAAATTTTTTAACTAACAACAACAAGCAGAAAATTTCAATTTACTGATGAGGAGAAATTCGAGAAAAGATTTCCGGTGTCTGAGGCAAAAAACCAAAAAAGAAAAAAACGAGTGACTAATCGAGGTAGCTCGGATTACGAGTTCCCATAGATGATGCGAGTTTTAAGGAAACAAGATTACAAGTTCACCAAAGGAAAATCTAGAAATTTAGAAGGTTATATATAATATCATTTCTAGAAAGGAATTCAATGTTCAAAGTATGCGGTGAAAGATGAAAGATGACTGGGATTAGTGAAGGGGAAAGGGGTGACTTTGAATGGGGAGAATTTGAATCCGATTTAAAAGCTTGCCGCATTTATTCCTCAAATGGAAAACGACAAAGCTGTTTTCTAAAGAATGTGTTTCTATTTTCGATCTCAAAGAACGAGCCTTAGACTCTCGAAGAGTTCAGCTAGTGCATCTAGTGCAGTACATCATCTAGTGCAGTACATCATCTAGTGCAGTACATCATCTAGTGCACTGAATTCTCCATTTTCTCATAGATGAGTGAATTAACTGAGTGAAAGTGAGTTCACTCTCGAAAATGAGTGAATCAAGTGCACCAGAAAGGGTGTTTTTCCATTTTCGAGCACGAAGTATAATAGATAGATCTAAAATCGATAACTTGAAAGATTTTGTGTTAAATATATCAAGATTTTCCATTTCTGGGTCTCCGTATGGCTCTCTTAAGAGAAGCAATATCGTTTCCCTCACCCAAACCACTTGAGGGATTCCTTTTTCATTCCTAAGGGTGTAATTACACCATCGCACGACACCCTGAAAAATGGGAAAAGGAGAAAAATGCGGCTCTTGATTGGGGTAATTTTTGATAATGATCTGGGTAATTTTCATGATTGGAGATGCGAGTGCTTTTTAGCTTTCAGTACAAAGAATTGGTTTTAAAGCTTGAATTTTCAGAATGAGATGAAGAGAAAAAGGAAGAGATACTAGATTTAGAAGAGATACTTTTTTTTTTGATCTGTCTTCGCATTCAGGTGTTCCTATTTGCGCAGATCACAACCTGCTTTCACATTTCTCTATCCCTTGCTATTGTTATCCAGTGTTTCCTATCTTGATTGTTCCTGGCTCGAAGTCTTCGACTTGCTTGTGCTGGTGGTGGTTGCACTCTAGCCATCCTTTCTCTGACCGTCTCTGCCACTCTTGTGCTCCACCTCGTTGCTGGTCTTCCGATGGGCCTCTTCTGGTCTTGTGGTAGCCACTCTGTGATCCGTATCATCCATCTGTCGTCTGTTCTTCTGGCTACGTGGCCAGACCATCTGAGTCTTTTTCTCTCAATCACTTCCACTGGATCTCTGAGTCCGGAGAGCTGACGCATATCCGTAAGAAGAGATACTAGATCACTTGATATCACATTTCCCACAAATTTGAATGTAAGGAATGTGAGGAATGTAAGGAAGATTGAAAATTTGTAAGGAATTTGTAGGAATTCTGTTCGTGCAGAAATTTGTAGATGTAGCACAGAATAGTACCGGTTACTTCAAACAAGTGTCAATCGTCAGAGGTACTAATAGATTGGTAGAGGTTAAAAATAAAATACTGAGCCATTAAAGATACTGTAAGATCCTAGTATTTTGTTTCACTTTATTATGCCGATCAAAAGCTATTCATTAGACAAGCTTTACTTGAAATAAAATTTATTTAAACAGAAAATTACAGTAAAACCTACGTATTCTTGTAAAGAATAGTTCTAAGCAAAAAAAACTGTGTGAAATTCTTTAGTAACTTTTAAGCTAAACGCCGATTGAACAAAACAAGGAAAAGGCACTGGTGGACTCAAAAAAAAGAGGAAAACGGAAGCTTTATGAGATCGGCGGGTTGGCCTTTTCCCCATTTCTTTTTCCTTCTATTCTAATGAGATTTCCACGGGAACTATTATGGAAATCCTCTGTGGGTGAAGGGGAGAACAAAACGGCCAAGGAAAACAAAGCTTATACGATTTTTTTACGAGACTGAATTTGCAATACCAAGTGTAGATGGTGTTTTTTTTTGAATCTGGACTGAAAAACAAAACCCTAAAGTTGAGCAGCTTTGCATAAATTTTTGATAATCTTTGTTTAGTGAGTTTTCGCCATTAAATGCATTTAAAATTTCGGGGGTGGGACAAATGCGACCTTTTTTTTGCGCACCTGGACATTTGCGCACCTTTTTTTTGCTGGAAAAGGCCTTAGGAAAGGTCGTAGAGCTTCAAAAATGTTTTTCTAGAAGGGAATCGTATGCGTAGATTCTGAATTTCGACAAATCAGACCTCGTTAACACGTCAAATTTGGGCTAAAAGGCAAAAACTACGCAACTTCATGCTTTTCCGCAGTTCGAAGCTCTACGGCCTTGCCTGGCCTTTTCCAGCAAAAAAAAGCAAATGTCCAGGTGCGCAAAAAAAGGTAGCATTTGTCCCACCCCCAAAATTTCTCCATTAATTTGCAGTTTCAGATCAATCAATTTCAGACAAAATTTTAAATTAGCATTTAATTTTTTCAATTGGCGAGAAAATGTCGGATTTTCTTTCATTCTTTCAAATCTCGTCATGGGAGTCGTCTGCTCGTCGCAAAAGGAAAAGCTCGACGATGAACAGATTGAAGGTAAATTTTGTGAATTTTGTGAAACTAACAGGGAAATTCCCGTGTAAGATGTTCAACTCTCTGTTTCTGAAAGTGTTCTAAACGCTTTAGAAAGCTTTAATGCTGAGCTTTTATTGAATTTTGTATCATTATTGTTGCAATTGTTGAAATTTTCATCAAAAGTTATTTGAAATCTTATTGAAATCTTGAAAGCAAGCACGTTCAAAGGGTTTTAAGATGCGAGAAGCATTTGTTTCGTATAAAATTTAAAACTTTTACGTGTTGTGACTAATTTTTCCATTTAGAACTTGCTTCCACCCTCAAACAACCGTTGACATCAGGTGCGTTTCAAATTTTACATGTTTTTGATCAGTAAAATGTTTTGTTTTTAGTGTTTTTAGTGTTTGAATTGTTTGAGAGGGGCCACTTTTATCTTGGCTTAGTTGAATCTAATGTTTTGAGTGGTTGTATTGATTACTTTTATCTATTCTAAGGTAATCAAATATTGCTTGATAGATTGGTGATTATTTTAGCAAGTTTTTTGGCAATTCTAGCTTAATTTCATGTACTTTAACCATCAAACGCTACCTCAAAGCTGCTTACACTTGAAAATCAAACAAAAGCGGCAATATGAAACTTGAAACATGTTGTAAATGCTCTAAAAGTATAACCATATTTGATTATCCTAGGATAGATAGATATAAAGGTATCAATACAACCACTCAAAACATTAGATCCAACTAAGCCAGTATAAAACTGACCCCTCCCAACCACCAAAGTATGCTTGTTTAAATGCTTCAGTTTAAAAGAAAATCTGTGTTGCAGTGGGAATTAAGTACATTATTGTCATTTAGATAGAGATCTCAATTCGAAAAGTTTCGAGAGTTCCTACGAACAGGCGTCAATGTTTAACCGTGAGTTTTTTTTGTTTATTTAAGCATCAGCTGTTCTAGAATTATTTGATTTCATTGTTTTTAGAAAAACGAAAAGTCTTTTCGTTCCGCGTGATTGCCGGCGCCACTCATTGCAAACATCTTATGGTTGGTTCTTAAAATTCTAAAGGCATTACATTACTTTAAGTTCAGCTAAGTGTAAAATGACGATAGTAGCTGAACTTAAGGTTGCTTCTTGATCCAAATTTCTTTTTTAGAAAGAACTCCAACGTACCACTCACGAGAAACAAATGCTGAGCGAACGGTTGACGGAATTGCACAAAAATCATAAGGTTTATTTTTAATTTTGTCAAGAATCTAAAATTTTTAAGTTAATTCACCGAATTTTTTTATTTTAGGAGCTCTTCAAATGCAACACACGCTGATGGCATCAGGCCGTGTTGCATCAGGCCTGATGCAACACGGCAAAATGGAAAGAGATTTCAACCGAAACACAAAGAATATTAAAGTTTTATCGCTTTGTTTTGTATTTACGGGTATGTTTTGTGAATAGCTTTTGATTGAAATAATAAAATGTTTTGCTTAAAGATATTTCTGGGAATTCTTGTTTTATTGCAATTATTTACTTCCAAACAAGGGTTTTGAGGATTTTATGTGGATGAAGTTGGGCTACACAACTTTACATTGCACGCTGAGAATGGAAAGAGGGAATGAAGGGTTTTTGAAGAATAACAAGGATGTAAAACAGGGTCAAAAACAGTTTAGAAACCTTTCACGACGTGTTTTCTTTGACTTTACCTTCTGACATGTTCTACTTCCACAAATTAATTTATTTGTTTCATTTCAGGATCGCTTCCGCATCAAGATGGCCACCGATTCGGCTCTCATCGAGATGGCGTTGACGCTGGTGCGTGATTTGAAGCGAAATGATGACATCATCCCACCATACCAAGGAGATCGCGTGAAAGATTGCATCAACGGGATCAACTCCCTCTACACAATCACCTTCAATCAAGTGCAACAAATTCGCGCAGGCACGTCGAATCCCGAAAACTCGCAACGAATCACCACGGAAAGCGCCGCTCGATCGAAAGCCATTCAATTCGTTTACCGTTGCTTGATCGCCTACCAAAACGAACGCTTGAAGAGGATCAAAGGGTTGCGGTGGCAATTCGGCGGCGTTATTCCGCCCGTCATCAAAGCAAATCTAAACGACACGGAGCTCGGGTTCTTCAACGAGTACTGCACAACGTTAGCCGATTTCCAGTCGAGTTTCGGTAACTCGGGAGTGAATTTATTGGCGTGCACAAAGCCGCCAAAAGAGTTGTACATGCAGGTGCGAGTGTTGAGCGATTACGGGGAATTCGAGACTTCTGATGGGAATGTGGTCACATTGACGAGCTCGTCTCTTCACAATATGCTAGCCCACGACTGCGAGATGTTAATCAGAAAAGGTGTGCTCGAGCCGATGTAAATGATCAATTTTGAAAGTTTAGGAACCATTTGTGAGTTGCGTTCTTTACTGAATCTTATAAGTCATCCGGTATTTTTTCCAAATTCATCTAACTAATTCCAGTGAAAGATTCTATTGTTGTGTCGAGTTTTGAAATTTTTTAGGTTTATTTTTTCTTTTTCGAGTGTTTGATATAAATTTTTATGTCGCCGAAAAAGAAAAATGGCAACACAACCAATAATCAAATGCACGATAAGGCCAGTTTTTTTTTCCAGTTATCAGCTTTACAGGTACATATCGAACTACAATATTAGTGTTCTATTTGTGGATCTACAAGAGTTTACGATACTTGAAGTAGTCAAAAGTAATATTGTTTCACGTATAACATACAAGCCTTCGATCTGACTCGGGTAACTCTATGCAGCTCTGAAAATTCTGCATTTGTTCTACTTAATGGCTGAACGAACACTTTGGATATGTGAAAAAGTAGCCCTTCCCCCACTCAATAAGTGCCTCTTTTATTCGGGGCTAATCTTTGGTGTGCTTTTTTTTCCTCAAACGACGAGAAAACGCAATTCTCGTCGTTCCTTTTGAGTCTGAAGAAAGAGCTTTAGAAAAATCAACTTTTCTCGGATTTCCTCTAGATGAAGATATTCTAGATTTTTCATTTGAACGAGAAATTCGTATTTCTTTAATGGAAACACATTACACTTATCGAAGTGAGTTCGGTTTTTGCTTTGATTAATAGAAGATGAGTCATTCAGCCATTTTAATGAGTTTTTGCAAAAGCCTCGATTGGATTTTTATTCTTATCCAAATGTTTACTCACTGCGTTTTTGCTTAGCTGGAATCTTGAATTTTATTCCAAAGTATTCAAGCTGAATACTCAAAATCTGGATCAAATTTAATAGTATCTGACATTTTAAAGCTATAGTAGGAATTGTTTTTTTGCGGTCCCATTCAAAAATGAAACGCTACGGAGCAGTTTCCATTCGATCGGCGATGAATTCTGCTGGTTATTAACTTTTTTTTTTTGAAATTAGCATTCATTTTTATAGATGACATCGATCCGGCTAGCTTGCGATCTCACCTCATCTCTGGGTTAACGGTAAATTTGAAGCTTTCCAGTGAAATGTATTCATTTCCAGATTCTTCCTTCACTGTTCGCTTGTCTATTGGGCGTTTTTGCGGCAACATTGCTCGTCATGGCTTCAAGTAAGTGAAATTACCTGGAATAGGTAGAACCTACCGTAAATACTGTAATAGTACCCCACCCCCATAATGACGGTGCGGAGTGTTGTGTAGTCTAGCTTTGGACGCGTTTTTCTTGACACTCGTTTATGCTATAATGCGCGCTTAGTTATCAAAAAATAGCCCTGAATTTCAGCTATTTTTTGATACCAAAGACGCATTTTTGGGAGTACAAGTGCTTTGAAAAGAATGAAATCCTAAAAAAAAAAAGCGACTACGCGACTGTATGAGGAGGGTGGGGTACTATTACAGTATTTACGGTAGGTGCAAACTAATGGCTCTAGCCATACAATTAATTTGCAAATTAATGCAAATTAATCTTATGGCTTTTTACACCTAGTAAATAGTCTTTAGTCTTTAGGTCTTTAGAATAGACTTCTGACAGTGAGAACCAAAGCTTGATCAATTTCTCTTTCAGCGTTGAGCGCGCGCCTGCGTTTACCGATCCACTCGTTGATGGGTTTCGCGGCGATGATCGATTTCGTTGTTTGTGTGTATTTGGTGGGAAAAAAAATGGCAAGGAAAATTATTTTAAAAGTTTTTAGGTACAAGTCCAAATCATGGTGTTAAACGGATGGCACAACGTTCCACAGAAAACCTGTTTCCTCGGCTCACTACACGGTTTAGCGGCTTTGAATGCACAGGTATTCGAGTAGAAGAATCATAAAGTAAATGAAGCAAATTTTTTACTTGAAACGGAAAGCTAAGAATTCGAAAAAAGGTCAACATTTTGGATAACATTAAAAGGAAATTCGCGAAAAATTTCCACCATAATCCTTTTCACTTAGCTACTATTGAATAGTTTTGCTAAAAATAGACAGGCGTACTGTTGGCGATGTCAATCGAGAGGTTTTACTCTGCCGGATTGAAGAAAAGCGTTGGGTAAGTAAGTCGGCTAAAGTTCAGTAAATACTCCATTTTCAGAGCTAAGAAAATTTCAAAAAACTCGTTTCCCAAATGGCCTTTCATCCTTTTCACTCTCATTTTCTCATCACTTCTTACGACAATTGGTTGGGTGATCCCAATCGGATCCGAGCTAGTCATCTCTTGCTTCTCAAGTTCATCATATGGAAATGAAAAGTTGGTTTTTTCAAAAATGTTTTGAACAAAAAAACTTCCAGTGCTCGACTAACTTGGTTGATCTCTCATTTGATCGGGATTCTTTCGTCGGTGATTTTCTTGCTGTTAACATATCGACGTCTTTCTAATCAAGCAACAAGTTGGGCACAAAGAAAGTCTATTCAAAGTCGATTTCAGACACTGGCGCAATCTCTTTGTCTCTTCTCCGCTCACTCACAATTATCTCCATATTTTCATTGACTTCTTGGGTTCTTTATAGTTTGGGATCAATAAGTCAAATGGTGAGTTTGAAAAATTCTTCAATACAAAAAATTTAGCTTTCTAATTTCCCACCACAAGCGGAGTTGCATTTGTCTTGGCCTCTGCTATTGCTTTCTACAGTAAAGCCCGTTACCCTATTCACCGCTGAGCGAAAATATCGAAGGGCCATGTTATTGTTTCTTACATGTGGATGGTGAAAAACCAGCTCAAGTCAAGCTCTTACAAACAAATTTCAGGAGAGGAGAGCTGGATGGAAGATTGGCCACGAGACAAGGCGGAATATCTGGCACCGGATTTTTGGCTCTCGCCGCAGCTACAGCTCGTGCCGGATCGACGACAATGGATTTTTAAATTATGCACTCAAACATTTTGTTTTTCATTCTAATCTGATACAATTTATTTGATCACAAAATTTGTTAAATCAAACACACCCGCAATACAAAAGTTTAAAGTACAGAATAACGGACCCGTATGAAAATATTTGGTCGAGAAATTCATAGATTTTTGAAAAGATTATCGTTCTGCCGCTGAGTCCAAGCTGTTCGATGGTGACGAGACAACGGGGATTCCATATGATACGACCGAGGCGCCAGTGAGATGACGAAGCTTTGCTCGGCTACGTGCGAACGCCATTCCATCCATCAACATGCGCAATCTAGACCAAAGTTATTGAACTTTAATTTACCTAGATCTATACCTCTCCCCGTCATTTGCTTTTGGTTTTCGTTGTTCGGCGTCAAACATGTAGTCGCTGAGATCGATGAAGTAGCGATCAATTTCACCGTCAGTCACCATCCACAAGCATCCGACAACGCAGGGACTATCGGCAATGAAGTAGTCGTAAATTGAAGATCGTCCATCTAGTCCTGGGCCTTCCGGTGTAATTGCAACACTAAAACTAGATTCTAGACAGCTAAAATTTAGACAATCACCTTGAACACCCCATAAGAAATCCCACAGCTTGACATCCACTTTTTCGCACGGCCGTCCGTCCAAAATATTTTGATCCAGATCCATGACCGAAGTAACTAAAGTTTAAATGAAAAAGTAATAAGTAGGAAACCTTACACATAAATGTCATTGGCCGACAGCATTTTCTTGAAGTTCTCGGGCTCTGGTACACGTCCAACGATCCCTGTCCATCCGAGTTTTGCCATGTGGTCACACATTCGTTTTTTCGTATCGTCGAGATTGTTGTCTGGATCGCAGATGAACACTCCTCTTGCCGGATTAATCGGGCGTGGAATCTGACAAAGAGAATTAAAAGGATGCGTTGGCAAAACATACCGAGTAGTTTTTCTTCTCGAAAATTTCCAATAACTTGTGAACCGAGCCGAATCGTCCAATGTAGGGATTCTTTTCAAAGATCGGAAGACTCTCCCAGGGTATTATCGAAAGCTCCTAAAAAATCAAATTTTATTAAATAATCTACTTCGAAACTACCGGCGATGTTACAATCATTGTGTAGCGTGGAAACGAGTAAGCGACATCGCTTGCCGCCTTTTTGAGTTGGACATAGAAGTCCGAGTTTGTCCGCGAAACTTTTGCTGCCTCGGCTGATCCAAGCTCACCGTTCAACTCGCAAAAGGCTGGAATCAATGGTTTCCATAGCGTCTCGTATTCTTCATGGCTTCCCGTTGCAAAAAGTGACACAAGTTCCGTCGCAATGTAGGATGAAAGACCCCTGTTCGTTTGCGCTTTTGTAGTTAACGATTGGATCCTGGAAGTAAAAAGTAGAAGTATTTTACAAAAAAAAAACTACATCTTAGCCGCTTTCCGGCCTTCTGCCCCTAGAGTTGCGCTCGGTCGGAACAACATTGCAAAGGGGCCGAGAAGTTGGTTTTGAACTTTGGCACAGAAAGCCTAAAAGAGATTGAATCATTTCTTTATCCAAATACATACCCTAAGCGAATCGTCAACTCGTCTACGCTCTTTCCAAAAATACTTGCTGTCGGTGGTGACTTTTGCCAAATTACCTAAAATTATATTATCATTTTACCATGGATAAAGTATGTACCGGTCGTATCGTTATCTCGCATGATTGTTGTCATGTCTTTGATGAACTCGTCAAGCTAAATTTTAGAATGATAACTAGCAAATAAAAACTGATTACTTTATCTTTCGATGCGATTGGCACAATAACTGGAGGACGGCTACAATGAAGCTTGACAACGACGAAATCACCGCCGTTATTGAGCACGAGTTGGAGCACGGTGATGTCTTCTGGCAGCTTCTCAACTTTTGCTTGAAATTGCGAAGCACTTCGAAATTCCTCTCCAAAATCTCGTCCAATGGCTCGAGCAGCTTGTCGCGTAGCAAGAAGACACATCTCGGCGCTCATCATCGCACTTTCCCAAGGATAGATTGACAACTAAAACCAAAAATTACACAACTAATTCGCGAATAAATAACCTGTGCAATCATTGAGCATATCGGTAATCTCCAGTCACGATACATCAAGTGTTTATGGAGTGCATATTGTTTCCGCGCATCTTCCACTGCTTTCTCTCTTTTCGCTGCCAGTTCGCCGTCTTCTGTCGTCTTTGGATTTGCTTGCAATATCTTCTTCTTCGCGTTTTTCTTAAAATATATAATTTAGTATTTAAAAATATATCACAACCGCAAGCATCCAAGAATAGCAAAGTGGTGGGCATGCAGGCCGTGATGCTTGTGCCAAAGCCAGGAATTCAGCTTGAAGAAAAGAACTTGCGTACTTATAGATCTAAACAAATTGATAAAACAGAAGTTCCTAAATTTGTTACTTTTTTGGTCCATTCACTAACAGTGGTAATAACCGAAGTCCCGGCCCGAGGTGCTCGATATCCGTCATTGTAGCGTAGCCACTGAATCATCACAAGTATCCACAGCATTGACATAAGCAAGGGGGGTCTCTAAAAAAAATCTTAAACTTTAGCGTTTATACAAATGAACTAACTGGTTTGGAGAGATTTCCTAATAGTTGCTGCTGAGTAGGCGTATTCAAAGAACGAAGTTGTGTGAAAGCCTCACACAATCCTTGAACAGCAACTTCATTAGTAGGAAAACCATCGTAGGCAAAAGCAAAGATATGCCACTAAAATGCATGTACATTAGCAAAATTTTTTTTGGAAAACCTCAAAGCGGTAAACTGGATCAAATCGAGAAATTGCACAATTTGAACATGAACAAGTCTCAGCATACAAATGTAGAATGGGATTTGATGTGTCACTAAAACAAAACTTTTTGAGAAAACTTTACAAAACTTACTCTTCGTTTACACACAACTCGAGGAAAGTGTCAGTCAGAGCACCTATCGTCATATCGGCAACTCCTTGTTTGGTGGTTTTCATCTCGCCTTCTGGTTGGACCACAGAATCCTAAATTCTAACTCAATACGAAACTCAAATTTAACACCAACACTATACAGATGTTGGAGCATTTTGCGCATGTTTGGACGGCTGTGTGAATCGTAGAATGAAGCGAAGCGCACCCAGAACATCAAGGATGAAGCTCGAACAATACTAAAGAAACGATACGTGTGTTAGAGGCAAAAAAGGGCTTACTTTGAATGCAGTCCAAGTCTGAGTGAGGCGATCCAATACTTCAATGACGCATAGCACGCTTCCCTGGTTTGTCCGGATTTGAACATTTCAAGCACGTATTGATGGACAAAGTAGAAATGCTCGGCAACGCGAAGTGAAACTTTTACTAAATTAATACAATAAGAGTTATCAGAAATGCTACTTACATATGTGTCCAGAATCTTTGCCTTCGGTATCGAACAAAGGAAGCTCATAATTCGCAGAGCTGTCGACCAACAAGTTTCGAGCCATGTTCTTCACGATGACCTCACTAGAGTGCAACATTTGCTCGAGGTGGACCAATCCATCTTTGGCTTTATATCGAGTACCATCATCTTTTACCTAAAGTTAATTATTTAAACACTGAAAGGGAGAGAAACCTCTCGACGTTGCAATTTGTAGGCATTCGCAAGGCAGCTGTTGATTAACGCCATCAGTTCATAGTTTGCATACGTCTTCTCATCTTTCCTTTCCTCGAGGTATTCGTAGAGTTGCTGGATCGAATGCTCCTAGTAAACTGGTAAAACCTTGCTGAAAGAAAAACATACTCGAAATTTTGCTTCCACGTGAAACACCTTGATTTGCCGACAAATACTGGCGAATTGGCTGTGTTCAATGAATTTATCCCGTGTGAACATGTTATTCTATAAAAAAATATTCAAAACAATGTATTGAATCCAAACCCTTTCATCGTAGAACCCATCTAACACTTCCCATTCAGCAAGCAAGACGCACCACTTCTGATAAGCACATTCGATGTCTAGATCTTTTTCGAAGATTGTTAAGATGTCCTTCAGCATCAGTAACCCTTTGTAGTGCTAAAATCCATTTATTCGAGATCTTAACCAAAGCCACACATGTCCGCTCAAAAAAAGGGCAGCCGCCAAATTCCGAAGCTGCTTGTTGTATGGCGCACGTGCTTGAGTTGAGGCTTGCAACAGCAATGGTTGAATCCTGGTGATGTACAAAGTGTAGGCCCGCTAAAAATTTGAAGTTTAAGGATAGCAAATCGATAGTACCATTAGTGCTGCGTGTGGATTCGATTCTTGATTGGCAAACGCATATTGATGAGTTACTAAAACGTGCGGCGCCAAGTCGCTCTGCTCGATCTCTTTCCCACAAGCTCGCAATACATCACACATCTGAATCAGACTTTTATAAAAATGCAAAAAATTGAATAACTTTTCGTTGAACGAAGAAAAGCTGTCCAGTAAATGCTCGAAAATGTTGATTCAATTGTTCGTACAACTTCTGCGATCCAACTTGGCTGACGGAAGTGGTGGCCGTTGATGGTGTGTCTTCGTCAAATTGCAGCAACTTTCGAGCAGGCGTCTTTTCATTCCTTTTCTCCTTCTTTGATGCTAAAATTAAAGATTTAGACGTTATCAGGGCTATTTTAAACAAAACTACTAAGCATAACACAAACTACCTTTGTTTAGGCTCTTTGGTGTTGAAGTTAGCAGGTCGTGCAAGCGAGCTGGCGAGATAGCCCTCAACGGCGATTTTCCCCGAGCTCTAAACAAAAACAAATGATGTTAAGAACCAAAAACAAACTTTCTAACGGTGTCCAGAGGAATTGAAGCCATCAAGATGAACTTGAAGTGCCTGAAATCAAAGAATTGCTCGAGTCGCGGCCAAAAGAAAGCGTTGCGAGTAAAGAAGTGCACCCGGCAAGAACAAACAGGTTAGGGGCACCGTGATCACGTTAGGTAAAACAATAGACTACTAGCTTATTTGAATTGGCAGTTTGCAAAACTGAAAATATCCAAAGCCTTTCATTTCGGGCAATAACTGAACAGTATTGAGTCCAATCACAGCTTTATCTAACGATTTAATCTCGAATCGAACGAACCATCAGAGAAACAAAAACAAAGAAAAAGCTACAAATTCTTGTTTTGACAAAAAGCAAGAAATGTGACTTTTAGTTTCAATTACAATTCAAATCTTGATCGTCTCTGTCTATTGCTGAATCAGCTTGTATTGATTTGAATAGGATGCCTGGGGCAGGGCAAAGGGTAAATGGTGGTTACTCGGTTACGCGCCAAGCAAGAAAACAAGATACAAGAACAGCTGGGGAATGAAGGGCTGCAGAACATTTGATCAAATTGCTACCAACAACAAGATAAATACTTAAAATCGACATACCCAGATAGGTAGATAATGAATAAAATGTGCTAGAGCCACCAATCGCGTAATCCGAGAGAATGAGAAATAGTCTATTTACAAACTTAAATAGCGGCAATTGCCAATGTTTCAATATTCGGCTTTTCAATTGAATATCTAGTCGTAAAAAATAAATTTATTTGACATGTAAAACATTTGATTGCTTTTTTCACCACCATTGTTGATTTTGCGTTGCTTGGTTGAATTGAGCGGTGAACACGTTGTCTTGAGCGGGGAAAACTGGAAATTGATTCGATTTATGATTGCAGCAGGCTTTGATCAAGGTTTAAAAGCTTAAGTTTAAACTTTACCTGATTGCTCGTTGAGATTCTGGTTGGCTTGTAGACCTTGATGTTGGGAATATGGGGGCACGCTCATCGCACGATTGCCGAGATCCGTCGGTGTGGTCACACTGGAATTGTTTTCGTTGTTAAAGTACGGTTCAACTAAAACTTATAGCGGCTGATAAAAACTTGGTTTTTAAGTTACTTATCGTATTGTAGTTAGTCAATGCTACTTGAATTAGAATTGGGTCTAGAAGTACTGTAGATAAATCCAAGTATGAAATGTGTAGAACAGTAAACTGGGCTCCTTGTACAATACATTGTTGTTTGTAAGCTAGATCTTATTATACTGTACTTACAATACAATAATGTTTGTAGATATGAGATAAGAGAGAAGTTTTAGCAAAGATACCCATAATTTTCCGAATGATTGTGTGGCGATCGAGGAACGATTTGAGATGATTGGAAAGTTGCTGAAAACGAGCTTTTGAAAATGTTTCATTAAAATGACTACTGTAAATACTACGTACAGTCATGTAAATACAGGCGTACAGTCGCGTAGTCGCAAAAGTTTTTTATTATTTCATTTTTTTCAAAGCGTCCGTATTTTCAAAAAATAGCCTTGAATTTCAGCTATTTTTTTATACCTAAGTACGCATTGTAGCATGAGCCAGTGTCGAGAAAAACGCGTTCAAAGCTAGACTACGCAACACTCCGCACAGTCATTATGAGGGTGGGGTACTATTACAGTATTTACGGTATCTATAAGGATAGGTTTCAACTTTTCCAAACTCACGCATAACATTATTCGTGGCCATAATAGTCGGCGTGTCGGTGCCAGCAATATTGATATTGCTGAGAGACATTGATCCGGGAGAGAGCCCGGTCGGCGCTGTGGCTCCACCAATGCATACCGATGTTGAACGGCCAAGTGGGGAGAAGGATCCTTGCTGAAATTGGGGTATTTTAAAACTGAATGGCAATTAGGGTAAGTCATGGATTGACTGAAGGGCTACTATAAATCAATTTCCAGTCAAAGCTGATAAAATGCTCCTTTTGACTATCACGCTTTCTCAAAAGTGTCAACTTTCGAAACTATCGTAACCCCTGAAGCTAGTTTACAAAAGTTAGCATATTTTAGAAAACTGGTTAATGACAGAAAACGGTACCGTAGCCCTTTAGCCAGCGTAACCCTATTTTAACCAGCTACAGTAACCCTTTAGATTTAGAGTAATCTTTTCCAGTACCTGAAAGTGATGTCCATGCGCTGTCTGCCATTGCTCCACTTGTTCCGAGGCTCCAATCGGTCGAAACACGTTCTCCGAGATTCCAAGCTTGATCTCGGCTTCCTCCTGAAAATCTCGGCTTCTTCCTTTTATACCATAAATACTCGAATAGAAGTCCCTATAGGAGTGTCGCGTAGTCAAAGTTTCCTCTCAAACAAACGCTCATATCTTGGCACCAGTTCGTTTGCTTTCGCTCGCTTTGTTATCAAATTAAAGTAGTGAGAATGGGTGTTTTTTTTGAGATATCACACATATTTCTAGCATTAACCAGTGCTTAGAAAAAAGTGATTGAAAAATGATGAAAAATTGGCTTAGGGGTTGTATTGTTTGTTACCAAATTATTCGGGGGTGGGACAAATGCGACCTTTTTTGCGCACCTGGACATTTGCGCACCTTTTTTGCTGGAAAAGGCCTTAGGCAAGGCCGTAGAGCTTCGAAAATATTTCGAAAATTTTTCCATATAAGGGAATCGTATGCGTAGATTCCGAATTTCGACAAATCGGACCTCGCTGACACGTCAAATTTGGGCTAAAAGGCAAAAACTGCGGAAAAGCGTTAAGTTGCGTAGTTTTTGCCTTTTAACCCAAATTTGACGTGTCAGGGAGGTCTGATTTGTCGAAATTCGGAATCTACGCATACGATTCCCTAATAGGGGAATATTTTCGAAGCTCTACGGCCTTTCCTAAGGCCTTTTCCAGCAAAAAAAAGGTGCGCAAATGTCCAGGTGCGCAAAAAAAAGGTCGCATTTGTCCCACCCCCAATTATTCGTGTGAATAAATGTATTTTTATAAGCTACAGTATCCCTATCTATAAAAGACAAGTTTCTTCTACTATAATAGAAAGCCTACGGTATCCTATAGCTATTATCTAGAATTCTTAGATTATCTACTAAATTAGTATTTAGCTCGATTAGCTCGTTTGTTTCTGCGCGTTTGAGTATCAAATTAAAGTAGAAAGGATGAGTGATTTTTTGAGATATAAAATATATTTTTAGCATTAAGCAGCATTAAGCAGCGCTTAGAAAAAAAAGTGGATTGAAAAATGACAAAAAAAAGTCGATTTTTTCTCATTTTCTTTTGATCCCTTGACAAAATTTGTTTTCTTTTTCTGATTTTTGATCCCGAAACCTCTCAGTTTCCAAGGTTTTCTTTTGTATTTTCCCCTAAATAGCTTATTCAAACGCGGGAAAAAAGTGCTTCAAAATGCGGAGTTCAAAAATTAAAAATTAGCTCATTGTTTAAAAAGTTGAGGACACCTGAAACTAAAATTAGCTAAATTTTTTTGAAACCAAGTGGATATGGAGATTTGAAATTCTCTAGTTACTGTAGTTGCAAGCAGTACTCAAGTACAATTACATTGTACTGCTTACAATTACATTGTACTGCTTACAATTACATTGTACTGCTTACAATTACATTGTAATGCTTACAATTACATTGTAATGCTTACAATTACATTTACAGTACAAATTAGTACTTTAGTACAGTATTTTATCCGCTTTTTAGAGAACGTTTAGAAAGATCCTTTAACTGAATATTTTAAGAGCTCATTTAGATATTCAGCTAATCGAGAGCTCTTTGAGAGCACTCAAGCACTCTAATGTAGTGAATTAGCACAGAATAACTACAATCGCAAGCTTAAAATCCGTACTGAAAACTTGACAAAACATTTTTATCCATATCCTTTCTCATTCTCGAACCTGTGCTGCCAAAGCGGCCAATTGCCGTTCTCGTTTGTACCGACGGCGATGAGATCGGTTTGCCTGATTTCCATTGTGATGCTTCAGAATGTGTTCCTAAAAAGTTCTTCTTAGAAATGGCATAAATATTTTTATTCTCTTACAAGTTATTAATACAACAGAGTAAATCTGAAGCTTTCAAAAGCTTAGCTAGCTAAAGCTAAAACTAAGCTAGCTAAAGCTAAGCTAAGCTAGCTAAAGCTAAGCTAAGCTAGCTAAAGCTAAGCTAAGCTAGCTAAAGCTAAGCTAAGCTAGCTAAAGCTAAGCTAAGCTAGCTAAAGCTAAGCTAAGCTAGCTAAAGCTAAGCTAAGCTAGCTAAAGCTAAGCTAGCTAAAGCTAAGCTAGCTAAAGCTAAGCTAGCTAAAGCTAAGCTAGCTAAAGCTAAGCTAGCTAAAGCTAAGCTAGCTAAAGCTAAGCTAGCTAAAGCTAAGCTAGCTAAAGCTAAGCTAAGCTAGCTAAAGCTAAGCTAAGCTAGCTAAAGCTAAGCTAGCTAAAGCTCACTCACCTTCAACTTGTCTCTCCTCGACGAGGCATAGTCGCAAATATCACACTTGAACGGTTTCTCATCCAAATGAATCCGCTCGTGTCTCACCAAATGGGATTTCTCGATGAACCCACGATTGCAAATCTATAAATGTAGACAGCAAGAGTTTTGATAACTTATTCTTTCAAACCTTGCAAGTGTGAGCTCTCACAGCTAAATGCGTCCGCAAATGGGCGGCAAGTTGACTCTTCTTTGGGGAACTGAATTCATTTTCATTTTCAAATAATAAAGTTTTTTTTAAAAACCTATAATCACATCCCTCAATATGACAATAGAAAACATCGCCATTGTGTCCCTTTTTGTGAGTCAGGATGTGATCGGCGGATTTCGACGAGAAGCCACATTCATCACAGATGTGCGGTCTGAAAAGTTGATGATGAATGTTGTTGATGATGATGTTGTTGAACAATGGCAATAATGGATAAGTTAAAACAAGCCTAGCATCCGCATGAGTGCTCATATGAGAATCGAGAGCACTCTGCTGATTAAACGATCGACCACACTCGACACAGTGAAGAGCTGCCTAAAGTGAATTGATTGAGCTGATTGAATGTTTTCTAAAATAGGTTTCTTTTGGAATAGCCATTGAATCTTGATGATCTTGATCTTAATCTTGAGCCATCTTGATATTTTTTTGCTAACCTCATCAGCGTGCAGCTTCTCGTGAGCCCAAACTTGAGTTCTCGTGCGTCCCCGAAAACCGCATTGAGCACACTTGAAGAAACGGATTTCACCTAGAAATACTAGTCACTAGGCTTAGCTTGGCTTAGCTTCAAGTCTTTTAAGTCTATGACTGCTAGACTAGACTAGAGTGCTAGACTAGACTAGACTGCTAGACTAGACTAGACTACTAGACTAGACTAGACTACTAGACTAGACTAGACTACTAGACTAGACTAGACTACTAGACTAGACTAGACTACTAGACTAGACTGCTAGACCAAACCAAGTCTAACAATCACAATATTCTTTTATTTTAAAAAGCTATTCAAGCTATTCAAAAGTTGATATGTTAATTTCCAGCTAACCCACTGTGAACAAGCATATGAGCAAGAAGATCCTGCACACGATCATTTGACACAAAAGGACAATGAGCACAATTGTAAGGCGGCATCTAAAGAATTCTTTTCAAATTTGAATTCTAATTTTTTACAACTCACATGAAAATGATTCTGTCTAACATGTTCATAGAAATTCTTGCTCCATTTGCACTCGAAATCGCACATCTGGCAGACGAAAATCGTGTTCCGGTTGTGCTTTCGGGCACAGTGACGAGCTGTTTCCTAAAAATGATATTAAGTTAATAAATTTCATAAATCAAGTTAATATCTAAATTTGCAATCACCTCTTCGCTATTGCTAGCGAAACGACAATATGGACAAGGATTAGAACCGGCCGGATCGGACACTTCTTCACCGTCATCAACCTGTAAAGAAATGATTGGCAAAGAATCTGGAAGCAGAATTGAACCCTCGATCTTCCGCTTATCAGGCGGATTCTCTGCCACTGAGCTATCAGTGCCTTCTTTACCCAAGAAGAAATAGGAAAGCCAAGAAAGAGAAAGAAGAGAAAGGAAGGAAGAGAAAGGAAGAGAAAGAAAGGAAGAGAAAGAAAGGAAGAGAAAGAAGAGAAAGGAAGGAAGAGAAAGAAGAGAAAGAAAGGAAGAAAGAGAAGTCGCAAGAAATGTAAGCATGGCTAGAGTCTAGCCAGTAGCTGGAGAGCACCGGTTCTAGTAAGATCCATGACCAGGCTTAAGCTTAAGTCTGGCTTCTGGTGCAGCCAGGATAATTGGCTAATACAATTATTATTGTATTAGCCAATTATCCTGGCTATACTATTTCTAGATTAGTTACCGAATCTGGATCCAATAAATCATCATCAGTATAGGTGATGATGCCAGTCAAAATACTTCCATCCGCATAAACTCCATCCAGCTCATCTTCGTCAAAAGCGGCAATGTCAACTAGAGGATTTGAATGAAATAATGTACAAAATCTCATATGAAATTCAAATTTAGCCATAGAACAAAAGAGATCATGTTTTTGCCTAGTAATGAATGAGAATAACTTCTTCAACCAACCATCATCATCAGTGATTCGTTTTGGCGGCCGACCACGACGTTTGAAGCCTTTATGTTTTCTAGAAAAGCTTTTACAATTCAATATTTCATTTGACAATATATAAACTTTTAAATTGCTTCTTTAAATTGCTTCTTTAACTAGTTAACCATCAAAAATGATTTCTTAAACGTAAAATTATTGCTTAAACGTAAAATTTAGTGTTCACAAGTAACAGGATACTTGGTCAATTGATTGTAGGTTCAAAAAAAAACCGATTGTACAGGTTTTTGATCAGTTTTTGATCAGTTTTTGATCGGTTTTCGAACAATTTTCATCTCAAAATCGATTTACCGAAAATCAAAAACATGCTTTTTGATATTTTCCTTTCGATTCCCCTTTTCACAAACCGTATTTTGTGAAGCAATCGATTCCGTGCCTCATCCGCATCACTGCCGGACGTTGCTCCAATATCATCACGATCTTTCAACGAAATACGCAGCCTCAACTTTGTTCCACTCCCTTCACCAACATATTGAGCACCGTTTAGCTGAAAAAACACGATCGTTTTATGAAGTTGAAGTTGAAGATTTGAGATTTTAAAAAGAACTTAATGATTGCTCATAAATGGTGCTTATGGGGGTGGGACAAATGCGACCTTTTTTTTGCGCACCTGGACATTTGCGCACCTCTTTTTGCTGGAAAAGGCCTTAGGAAAGGTCGTAGAGCTTCAAAAATGTTTTTATAGAAGGGAATCGTATGCGTAGATTCCGAATTTCGACAAATCAGACCTCGCTGACACGTCAAATTTGGGCTAAAAGGCAAAAACTGCGGAAAAGCATTAAGTTGCGTAGTTTTTGCCTTTTAGCCCAAATTTGACTTGTCAGCGAGGTCTGATTTGTCGAAATTCGGAATCTACGCATACGATTCCCTTCTATAAAAACATTTTTGAAGCTCTACGACCTTTCCTAAGGCCTTTTCCAGCAAAAAGAGGTGCGCAAATGTCCAGGTGCGCAAAAAAAAGGTCGCATTTGTCCCACCCCTGTGCTTATAAATGCAAATCCATCCATTTTTTTCCACTCAAAATCTTTCATTTTTCTTCTTTTTGCAAGAAAAATGAAAAATGCAAAATTTAGTGTAATAGAAAGTGTGGGTTTTAATTTCTAAGCGCAAAGTACATCATGAAAAATATTCGATGAACTTACAATTTCTTCGGTGGTCGGATGTCCTTCTACAGGGACGTCCATTGAGTCATCCTCAGAGCCGTATAGACTTCTAAAACATATTAATATTAAAAAGTTGTTATAAACCTCAAATAATAAGAATCATATGTTATATACTCGACTGAATAATTTAGAAAAAAGATCAACTCCCACCCTTCCTCGTCATCCAAATCACTGTAGCCTTCTTCATCATCCAACTCATCCATTTCCTAAAATATAGCTTTCGTTTGATAATTTTCGATTTAAAACTTCAGTAACATTATTTTAATCGATATTTATTTACATTTAAGAGCTAATCTATTTGTTTTTTTTTTCCACTCACCACATCATTCTCATTTCCATTAGTCGCATGATGCTCAGGGAAAGCGGTGTTCGCTAAGAGATTCGCGTATTGCTCTTGATATTTGCTGGGCAGGAGACCAGAGCGAGATCTGTACAGTATTTTAAAGTTTAAAAAATCTTTATGAGTAACAGATTTGAGTCAAGTCAAGTTTATCATTTTATTTTTCACTAGAGTAAAAATTCTTCTAAGTACATCAGGTTTCAGAGCTTTGAAATTTGCTGAGCTGAGCTGTACAGTCGTACAATTTGCTGTACAGTCGACTCACTCTATAACGGAATGGAAGGGACTAAAAATTCTTAGTTTATATAGAGCTTTAGACTGTAAAGTCGACTCACTCTATAACGGAGCTCTATATAACGGAAAACTATATAACGGAATGAAATTTTGATCCCGCCCGACGCTAAGCTATATAAAACGGCACTCTATATAACGGAAAGCTTTCGGATTTTTGATTCCTTTCATTTCGTTATATAGAGACCCATACTTGAAAAAAGTCTCTTGATTCTCTTATTGATCGATACGTAAATTAGCCAAATTTAATGTATAGTATGAATTTTAAATTTAAAACTAATCCAAATTAGTTCAAGTATGGGCTTGCTTTGCTAGTGTTAAGCTTCACTTCACTAAAAGGCAAAATTTCTCAAGTAGAGAAGATTTGCTGACGCTGACAACTCTGCTCTTCATTCTCTACTTTGAACACTGGTATTATTTAGCATTAGTTTTCTAGTGACTAAAGAAAATACTTAAAAATGTTATGTTAATGTAAAAATAAAAATGTTCCCAATAAGGTTCCAATACGGTTCTTTTTAGGTCCAATACGGTTCTCTTTAGGTCCAATACGGCTCAATAAGGTCCCAATACGGTTCTTTTTATATCCAATACGGTTCTAATACGGTTCCAATAGGTTTTAAATTCAAATCCACCCACAATTGTTGCATCATGAGCAAGCGACTCGGCATGCTTCGCGAGAACAACGATGCATAATCCAAGAGAAACTCGATCGCCGTCTCGCTACACTAAAATTATTTGTAGAAAATCTATTAAATAATATTAAATCTTTAGTCTTAAACTTATTGAATTAATCCTTTAAAGGAAAAGCACTTAAAAGCTTCGCTCAAACTGTGATTCACTCAACACTAACATTTGGCAACTGTACACCGGTGAGAAGTTGTCGAAAATGCGGCTCTCGTTTCTCGATGTCCTCGGAAATCCAGCGAACAATGAGCCTAAAGAGACATAGGTTTTCATTTCTTTTTCACAAAAAATAAAAAGATTTCATGCACCCCGAAAGGGCACAGAGGCACAGAAAGGCACGCACTTCAAATGCACATCCGGCAAGATGACATTCACATGTTTTGGCTCGTCAAGTAGTTTCGTCAACTGTGCGATCGTGTATTGGAGGATGTCGACCGACTCGAGCACACATCGATTGATGTTCGCATCGAAGAACTCGCAAGCGGTCTAGAAATTTCGTTTTGATAAACAAAACTGAAAGCCTCATCCACCTAAAAGACTAAAAGCGAACGGCTTTTCAGACAAAGAATTGATTCAATTTTCTACAAATTCATGCAAAAACATTTTTTCCTATTACAAGAGTCACGTGACCATAATCAACATCAATCAAAAATCACCTTCAACAAAACGGGTAAATTGTATTTGGTGGCGAGTTGTTTTATCGATATCACGTTCGCCGCATCAAGGTATCGATCCAAGTACTCACAGCAATAGCCCTTCAATTTTGTCACCTAAACTCGTCACATTGATTTGAGTCAGTTTTTGTTTTTCGGGGTACCAAGAAATTGTTCGCCAATTTCAACAATTCGGTGACCGTTGATCGATCGATCACGATATTCCCGCTGTACATGTAATTGAGAAAGAGCTCGAAGGCGGCTGGGTTTGGGCAGTTTACTGTCACCTGAAAGCCAATAATATCGGTTCTACGGTAATCCAATAAAAAGTAGTAGCTCAATAGATGCTTTATAAAGTTCTTAAAAGATTCCAGTCAATGGAAACCAAGCGTTTCAGCTATCTTTTGCGATCTCAATTCCAAAAAATTATCAAAATCTTACATGCTCTTTCGTGATTTTCCCATATCGAAAGATTGAATCGAAATACGGACTGCAAGCGGCCAAAATATTCCGATGAGCGGTGAAGCGGCGATCTTTCACCTGAAATCACTTTTATCTTAAACTCGAGCTTCGAATGAACCGTGATGAAGACATCGCAAAAACGGCCAGTCTCCCGCTGATATCGGAGCCTTTCCAGAACCTATTACAGATAGATTTTCGGAAATTCTTTGCGAACTACCGTTGTCCCATGTTGATCCGTAAAAGACATCGGATTCAAACCATTGCTTTCCACTGAAGCTACCAAGGCCATTACTAAAAATTTTATTCAAATTATAGGCTTTTAACTGAAAACTATGGTAAGATACAAGTTTGTTAGAACCTTGAAAAATACCCCCTCCGGGTTGTCTCTTTGTGCACAAATGCCTTTCGCAATTTGTATCTTTTCGTGGTCTATGCCGAAGCCGATGACAAGAAAAGGAGCGTGAATTCCCAAGGGTTTTCCCCATCAACATTCTTTTGCATTCATGCATTTGGTACAATAGGAGTTTTTAAATTTTTATGCAAACTTTAAACTCGATTTTGAAAAAAACAGCACGGCGAATTGGAGTTTTCGGTGAAAAGTGAATACTACATAAATGAATGAAATGAAATAAATAATTGAATGAATATACTCTACAGAACGGAGAACGGGAAAAACACGCACTTTGCAATTAAAAATGATTAAAGCAAAGTACACTTATTTTTCTTCTTCTTCTTTTGCTGGAGTGCTGCTTGCGTGGCTTTCTCAAACACCTCACGAATGCCCTAAAATGACAATGAATTTAATGAAATTAAATATACCATTTGCTTGTGGTGACTATTTGAAAAGATATAAAAACTTGAAACTCACATCCTTAGTCTTAGCTGAGCATTCCAAATAAGCGTAGGCACCAATTTGATCGGCAATGGCTTTTCCTTGCTCGGGTTTGACTGGCTCTTGCTTCATCTTCTGAAGTTCCCGAATGGTGATTGGATCATTTCGCAAATCCTTCTTGTTTCCAACCAAAATGATAGGCACATTGGGGCAGAAGTGTCGAACCTGAACAAAAAAACATTTTAACAGTTAAAACAGGTCGTGCAAGTTTCGTAAAAGCTTTATCAAAGCTCCAATTAAGCCGTGACACTTTTGAATATTGAATTCATCATGGAAAAAAGAAAGTCTTGTTCCTGTGCAAGCCACTAATTTGTTTTCGTAATCAAACAGACCTATCCTATACTTTACAATTAGTATACTTGCTGCTCATCCCATTATTTTAGTTTTTATGAATCCACGAGAAATTTTGACCGAATATTTTTTAGTGGACATCACTTTTCCCTGGGGTTATCTTTCATTAGAAAATCTGTTCTCGATTTGACCACAACGTTCCCATATTTGTTTGTTTTCTTTCAAGCAAAGTATCACATCATTTTAGAAATTTCCAAAATCTAGCTATAAAATGTCCCTCACAAATGCAATAAATTTTCGTGGTTAAAGAAAAACGTTTTCGGGAAGCCGTCTTAACCCCTCCGGCTGCCCTTCGGGGAGCTCTCAGAAATGAGGCGCGCGCCAAGCAAGTGAGCCGACGGGAAAGAAGGGGGACGCCGAATGGCGGGAAAAGAAAAGAGGGCGTCCTTTTAGGAAGGGGACAGATGAGACTTGGATCGATAGAACGTGTGGGGCTGCGGCATCGTCTACCGACTACCAGGGAGCACACTAGTCGTCACACAACCCCTGATGAACCCATTTCAAGGAAAGTATTTGACTTAAAAGCTCCCGTCTTCATTAGCTTAATGTAAACAATGATCGAGGCCGAAGCACGCGCTCGTCGAAAAATAATTGAATTGGCAGCATTATGTAAAGACAATTAATAAAATACACACGAGTTTTTCTGGTTGATTCTAGCTGTTACAAATTAATTAAAAACCACACCTCAGGCGTCCATTTTTCGGGAATGTTCTCGAGGGAGTCGGGCGAATCAATGCTAAAGCACATCAAAATGACATCCGTATCCGGGTATGAGAGTGGTCGCAGCCGGTCGTAGTCTTCTTGTCCAGCAGTATCCCATAGAGCAAGTTCAACCTAAAAAACAATAGCTAATCTTGCTTTTTAATATTGATAAAAACTAGCATTAAACTTTAATATTAGCCTAATCTCAATTCTAGAATTTTAATCCTAGTTTCGAAATGAAAAAGAACGCGTGTGTGTGAGTAATCGATATCGTGTTCCTAGGATTGTCCTCTCCACTCTTCTATCAGCAATCATAAAAACACCCGTACCTGTTTTCCATCCACTTCAATGTCAGCAACGTAATTTTCGAACACAGTTGGCACGTACACGTCTGGGAATTGATCTTTGCTGAAGACGATGAGAAGACACGTTTTACCGCAAGCACCGTCTCCAACAATCACAAGCTAAATATAAAAGTTATTAAAGAAATTAAACAAAAAGTCTTCAAACCTTCTTCCTAATGGCAGCCATCTTGCCCTATCTGCAGCTGAGTCCCAAAAACTTTTGTGATCAGCCTGAAAAAGTAAAATAAAAATCAATTGAAACGAAAAGAGAACATCGAATGATTAGGAAAGTGTAAAGAAAACAATCCATTTCTTCATTATTTCATTCAAAAGGTGACTCATGGCCGCATCGCACCGTTTCGAATTGAAAAAGAACGTGAAGAGCGAATTTGAAAAGGGTGGCTGGTCGATGCGAGTCAGATGCAAGATAGGAGGCAAGCATTTAAGAGCGTCAAGGTCGAAAGACATTGGAGGCGATGCGCAACAGAGAAGAAGGATCGCGTGTGCGTGAGTAACCGATATCGCGTTCTTAGGATTGTCCTCTCCCCTCTTTTCGCTAGGATCTTTTGCTTATCGATTATAACGCAATAAGAGCCATCCCTCGTCGAAATAGCCTGAACAGAGATTTTGAAACCCTGAAAACAAGGTGTGAGTGAGAGAAAAACAAGCGTCTAAAATGTCATTTCTTCGCCAAAAAAGGATAAAGTTCTTAAGCGAAACGTATAGCAAACAAATAAAAAGCAAATTTTGAAATGTTGAACCTAAGTGGAGTGAGTGAGTTATGGGGTTCATAAAATGAGAAAAAGCGACGGAGAGCGCGTCACTAAAAGCTTTTTGGACAACGCGCACCGATCAATCGATAGGGTCTGGGGCGAGCGGGCGGGGAGAAACGAAAGGGGGGACTCAGTGTTCGCCTCGGTCCTTTCTCCCTCATGCCCGGGCACCAACTATAAGCCAACCACTAATGCGCTCTCTTTCCAACGACAAACACTACGCTTTAAAAATGTGGCTGAAAAGGTGTTACTCGTTTCCTTAAGATTAAAGGTTGGAGAAGAGCAAAAGTAAACGAATAGCTCACAGCGCGACCAAGAACAGATGCCAAGCGGAGAGTCAGCAAAAAAAAAGCCGGCCAGAAGTTGAAATTTTCTCGAAAAAACAAAGCGGCTTGTTGCTTTTCATGGAGTGCTGAATAGATAAGCTGACCTAGACCCCATATTGAGTCATCTAGATGGCCGGGAATTCCTTCGCGAAAAAAAAGCGCTTATAGAGACGTAATCAAAGCAACTTCTGAGAAACTTTAACAACGCAAGGAATGCCAATTAAGGAGCCCGAGACGAGCCACAATTCAAAACTGTGCCCTAGTTGAGGAAAGGGTGGAGAGAAAAAACTACTGGTGTGTTGAAGAGAGAGCATCGAAAGAAGAGAGCGATCGATGCCCCCCAGTGGACGCTCGAGTGGGGGGGTAGAAGAAAAGATGCGGCGAGGGGCGGTCGGGCGACGAGAGACGCAGAACACACTAGCCCCAGCCTCAGGCACAACGCCGCCCCAGAAAAGATACTGTTAGAGCAAAAGATGATAAAATACCCTTGTCCCGCTCTAGCAAAAAGTGTCGAAATCTTTTCGAGCAGAGACGACTCTAGGCGGGAAAGAAAGGAGGGGAAGATGGGCGGCTCGATGTCGATGAGAGAAACGTCGAAGCAAAACAAGAAACGTTTCCATCAAAATTTAATGAGGAAAACAAGTGCTGTCACGTTTTTTTTTTAGTAAAGTGAGTCTAATTTATAGAAATGAATCGATCTAAAAGTAAATTGTGTTAAAAATAATAAAATCAAGCGAAAAGGGGAACGAACCGAGGGAAAAATATCGAATCCGCAAAAATGAAATTTGAAAATGTTCGTGATTTTATAGGGTAACTTATCCACGCTTTAGAAAGCAGTCTTTTTTGGCGATTTTCGAAAACTACGGTAAATCGCGACTAGTTGTGATTTATTTTCACTCAAAATATCCAATGTTCAAAATTCAAAATTTCTTTTTAAATGTTAGTGGTACGTTTTAAAAATTAACAAAATTTTATTAAGGATTCGTTTTTTCAATAATTTCACAGATCCATCGTCATTCAGGGCATTCATTTATGCGCAGACACAACAAAAAAAATAATTTCCTCGTGTGGTTTCTTTAAAAGTTTGTTGAACAATTGATCCCTGGATCCTAGAGGACAAAATGCTCAAACTGTGGCTGTTTCTACAGTTTTCCATGTGTTTCAGCGAGATTTTGGGTGAACGGAACAAACGTGTGATTTTTGGAGTCCCGTTGGCAAGAGGTCAGTGTTTAGAGTAGACTGTGCTAGTTTTTTTTTCTAAAAGGTGCGCTTAAGGTAAAGCTACCGTACTCTGAGTTTTTAAGAATTTAAACTATTCCTAATCAAGTCTGTCCCTTCAAATCAACTTCACTGGCTTGAGAATCTTGGCAGATGAATGTGACTCGATTTAAGTATTATTCGGCTACGGTAGCTAAAGCAGTTTCTTTTCTGGATTACGGTAGCTTTTTGGAGGCCACCTTTTAGAAAACGCTTTGATAGGGATATCGCTGTTTAGCAAGTTGCTATTGCTTGATAATGGGGAAGATTTAATCATTAAGCGGAGCTTTTATAGGGCTACCGTAACCCTACCATAATGTAGAATTCCAGTAATCTGTAAACGTAGAGTTAATCTTTACAAGTTTTACAATGTCCTTTCGATTTTCAGGCGAGCTACCGTATCTCACCTCGTTGGTTTCCCATTTCCCGCACCATCGGGGTGATCAAGGCACGCTTTGTGGTGGCTCGCTTATCGCTCCCAACATCGTCCTCACCGCTGCACATTGTGTTTTCAACGAGCAAACCAGAGCCAAGTGGGTATTTTTGTAAGAGTTACTGTAGTCCTTGTATGACAACTATTGTACTTTAGTTCTTATTGTTAGCTGAAACGTTCAAAATACTTACCTTCATTTTCTCTCATTTAGAGCCCTCTCGATTCGAGTGATCGTCAACGATTTTGCCTTGGGGAAAGCGGACAAATTCGAGCAGGAGTTCGTCACCGATTCTTTCGATATTCATCCACTATATTTAAAGGTTTGTTTCCTGTTATCCCCCTTATATTTCCTCACTACTAGGTGAATCTAGTCAATGTGTTGTAGTCAAATTAACATCATCACTCCAGCTCCTATTATCTTCCTGAATTAGTCTTGACTACTTTTTTGTACTTCTGTTTAAAAATAACCTATTCTCTAGAATTTTCGGTGTAAACGTCAATAGGTGTTCAACGGAAAAATACTATATCTTGGTCAATTTTACTTTAATCTTTTTGTCTGCTGGTGTCAATAGAAAAAAAGATAGAGCACAAAAAGTTTGGTATATAGCCAAATTTTCAGAATAATCTGTTCAGCCAGTTTCTTTGTAGGACTTTTTATCGAATTTTGCACGAAAAACTAGTTCATGCACTCGAATTTACTTGGAAACAGACTCAAAACAGCTTAAAATGATAGAAAAGTGAATGCTAAACATTTTTTTATTTGAAGCAAACCGTAGGTCAATTGGTGACTTTAGTCATTTCTAAGCAAGTGTAAAAAAAAATGGTCAAGACTTGTTCACCAAGGTAATAGAACCTAACTTTCTAAGTCTTGCCAAGCGCCCAGCTGTAATCATATTGTATCAGCGTCACTAGATTCTAAGAATAATAATAAAAAGAATTAAGAAGCTGCAAATATTTGTCAGACACAGTAGTGAATTGTACAAAGTATATCATCTTGGATCACTTAGGTGCATAGGAAGATACCGTAACTCGTAAGAATTACGGTAACCCAGTCAGATAGCAGTTAGGTGGGTACTGTAGGATGTAAAAGGAAAATATATAAGTACCGTAGCCCAGTCAAGCAAGATAATACCATTAAACTTTCAAATCTCTAGTCCAACTTTGATCCGAGCTTCGACTTGGCGTTGATCTATTTGCCAACAAAGATCGACGTTTGCAAGGAATGGCCATCGATTAAAGTGAGATTAAAAGCGATTAAATTTTTATGTAAAATAATATTTAGATAGCCCGTCTGCCGATCGATCCAATCACTAAGAATATCACTGACGATCAATTGAAAATGGCGGCTTGTTTCCATTCGGGATGGGGTGTCACAAATGGTTGGCTTTGAGATTTTTAGAAACTAAAATCTTTTCCAGATGGTTCAAATGCTCCAGTGGCTCAGCGTATGCGTGTGGTGAACATCGACTTTCGCGCAAATCAACACCAACTCGGCGGGCGAACATTCGAAGTAAAAGGGGCTGCCGGGAGTCGACCATGCTTTGTAAGAGTTATCGAAAAGAATTAGCCAGTACTATTTGTACATAGATTCGACTTTTAAACATAAAAGTCAACTTACCAAGCTTCTCGAAATCTATCCTTAAACTTAGATCCATATACCTGATAAAGTAGACATTCAATTTCTGCATTTTAGCAAGCAAATTTTGTGTCTTAAGTGTGAGATTTCTTGCAGATGTTTAGAAAACAAAGACTGTTTGCTAAAATGGAGAAAATGACTCATTTTCAGTGAAACTGATGAACTATCTTCATCTTGACTTATGATTTTGCTAACCATAGCTATCAGTACTTTAATCCAAGTAATCGTCTAATACTAAGATTACCAGCCAATGAGAGCTTTTATCTATTGTTATTCTAATATACTAGAATTCAATTCTTTTCAGGGAGACTCGGGAGGTCCGGTGTACTGTGATCTGTCGAATGGTCGATATGTCGTCGGAATCGCGTCACAAATCGGCACCACCGATGAGAAGAAGCCGGTCAACTCGAATGTCCAGGTGCGTTGAATAATTCTTTATTTAAAACAAATCTAACTTTTAAAACTTGACTCATACATAAGTCTTAATTTGATCTTAATTTCTATGATGGCTAAAAATTCAGGAGTGCAGCCAAGCGTCAACGCTCGAGGTGGCCGATCTGCGCTCGCAAACGTACGAGATCGTGCGAATGATCAAAGAAAGGTGAGGGATATTATTATATAAAAGTATAGATATCTAAAGAAAAATATCCAGCTTTATGAATATCTTTTATCTAAAGAAAATCTTTTTTAAATCTATCCCTTTAGAGGCCTCTACGAGGAGTTGCTCGCTTCGTACCAAATATGCTTCCCAAATGGAGCTGGACAATAAAAATAAAATCGCTTATCTATCTAAATGCAATAAATACTTTTAAAATATTATTTTTGTTTGACTTAATACAAAGCTCAAAGTCCTTTCTTTTCAGAAATCTCATTTTCCCGCCTTTCCTTCCATCATTTCATCTCGCATTTCAACATGAGTAACCCTCCGTTTTGACGTCAACGATTACGCAGAGGAAACATTTTTGATCATTTGAAACATTTGATCATTTGAAACATTTGATCACATCAACCAAAACATCATCCTACCTCAAATAGATACTTTTTAAATACTCAAAAATAAATTAGATCCTAGAATCTTAGACCTCCAAACAATCAATGGCAATTCTCCATGATAAGTTTATTTCTAAAGCTTTTAAGCAAGTATTTTGAGCTTTATATTTTAAGTTAAGCCAATATTTTAAGCTTTTAAGACACGTTTGTATAAAATTGGTAATTGATAATTGGTAAAAGTAACGTAAACATAATCTTTGTTTCATTTTTGAGTCTAAAAGCAAATCAAAACCGAACTTTAGTTGAACTATAGCAAAGCCATAGCAAAGCCATAAAAATCGGCCAGGTAAAACAGTTATTTTCATCTAAATCTCTTTTTTTAGATTTCAATTTAGTAAAATAACAGAAAAATATCGGATTTTTATCTTGAAACAAACAACCTTCAAAACATTTCCCAAATGCCAAATAAGCACAAAGAGCTGAAACATGTTTTGATTGTCCAGTAACAGAGCTAAAATTTCGTTTCTCCAGCTTTGCAACTTGCAAAAGTTTCATAAGAGCTTCATAAAGCATTGTTTTTTATTTTCTCAAGCATAAGGTAACAATTAATCAAGTTACCGTATTTCTTCGAATAGAAGACCGGGTAAAGAGTATCATCGCGTACTCCTGCGTAGCAGCCCTTTTTAAAATCTCTTTTCTGCATAAAAGCTTTCAATCAAGTGCTATAGAGCTGGAAAATGACTCAAAAATCTGTTAGCTCATGTCGTATTTTTGAGTCATTTTCCAGCTCTATAGCACTTCATTAAAAGCTTTTATGAAGAAAAGAAATTTTAAAAAGGGCTGCTACGCAGGATGTACGCAGGAGTACGCGATGATACTCTTTACCCGGTCTTCTATTCGAAGAAATACGGTAGTTCCTTTTTTGAATCTCTTAAAATTACCAATTCAGACTTAAGCACAGACCAATTCATTCAAGGCTCCAATTTTTTTTTTTATTAAAAATCTTTCAGCAACTTTTTGCTGAATACAAAAAGCGTGTTTTGACTTAAACAATTAATTGAGAAGCGCTTTTTGCAAAAATTTCACAAGAACTCCGAACTTTTTCCCATTTCGAACAAATGGATCGTGTGAATGGGAATGGATGGGAAATGGCTAGGAGGAAAAAAATCTCTAAGAAAAAAAAACAAATCTAAGTTATTATTTACATATTAATCTGTTTTTGTGAGCAAATTGCTTATAAAAATGTGGCTACAATTAGCTGAAAATTTTTGTTTTCAGTTGAGTTTGTTTATTGTTTATATTTATTGCTCTCAAACGAATATTTTCCCTTTCAGTTTGCTTTGTGTGAAACACACCCTTTCTAGCGCCCTTTCTAGCGCCCTTTCTAGCGCCCTTTCTAGCGCCCTTTCTAGCGCCCTTTCTAGCGCCCTTTCTAGCGCCCTTTCTAGCGCCCTTTTAATTCTTCATTTTCTTAGATAAATTAGTTGTTAGTTTGAAGAAAATGATGAGTTGAGTGAGCCAGAAAGGGGGTGTTTCTATTTTTGTGTTTTTGTACAAAGTACAAACACACGAAAGTAAGTTTTGGGGTATAAAAATGTTCTCTAATTTGCTCTTATCTTTGTACTTTTTGTAAGAAGATTGTAAGAAGATTGTAAGAAATCGTTTAGCAAGAACAATTGATAGTTAGAAGGGAAAATTTCTAGAGAATATAGTGCAAGGATTGTTGTTGTGTATTCGTGTTCGACAGACGTCCTTTTCTGGGAACTTCTTCAAACCAAGGCGAAACCTTTTTGATGTTTATCTACAGGTAGGGGTCATAACTTTGGACACGCCTCGCGCGTTAAACAAAAAATTTTTTTTTTTTTTTTAAAAATAATTTTTTTTTTTTTAAAAAAAAAAAAAAATTAATAATTTTTTTTTCTTTTTAAATTTTTTATAAATTATTTTTTTTTTTTTTTTTTTTTAATTTTTTTTTTTTATTTTTCAAAATAGAACGGTTTAAAAATGGGGGGAAAAAATAAATAAAAAAAAAAATTATAATAAAATAAATAAAATAAAAAAAAAAAAAAAAAGAAAAAAGAAAAAGAGGGGGAGGGAAGAGAGAGAAAAGGGAAGAGGGGGGGGGAGGGGGGGGGGGGGGGGGGGGGGGGTTAGGGGGGGGGGGGGGGGGGGGAGGAGGAGGAAATAGTTTTAGTTGAAGAAAATGAGGAGTTGAGTGAGCCAGAAGGGAGGTGTTTCTATTTTTGAACGAAACAAAACGAAAGTAAGTTGTTGCTATAAAAATGTTCTCTAATTTGCTCTTATCTTTGTACTTTTTGTAAGAAGCTTGCAAGAAATCGTTTAGCAAGAACAATTGATAGTCAGAAGGGAAAATTTCTAGAGAATATAGTGCATGAGGAAGGACTGTTGTGTATTGGTGTTCGACAGACGTCCTTTTCTGGGAACTTCTTCAAACCAAGGCGAAACCTTTTTGATGTTTATCTACCTCATATCCAAACAGTCAGAAGGGAAAATGTCTAGAGAATATAGTGCATGAGGAAGGATATTCCAGTGTAGGTTGTTCTTCACAAAATCGATCGATCTTTCTATCGATCGATCGATTTATGGCAGCTTGCGTCATCATAAAGAACGAAAACGAGGCCGTTCCATTTGTTGCCATAGAGCAACCTCCTGATTATTTGGATATGAGGTAGATAAACATTAAAATTTCGCCTCGATTTAAGAAGTTCCCAGAAAAGGACGTCTGTCGAACACCAATACACAAAAATCGCTTCTTTCCGTGGATGTTCCGAACTATTTTCCTTGCTTGTCCTTTCTTCAACGATTACCGTTGTAACACTTGACGTGAGTGATGATATTCGAAAGAGAAAGCCGACCATCACGTCCAACTAAAAGGGAAGCCCCTTCTACCCGACTGGTTTGCCAGATTGCGACCGATTGCGCACAGAGAACACTTCAGACTCTTCTACATAAAGATTTTGTTTTGCTTCTTTGATACAATAAAAAGATATTTAGCTGTAAATTTTGCGGATTTTTGAAGTCGGCGAATCGATTGAAGCTATTCATTTTATTGAGGCAGGGTTTAAACCGAAAAGAAACACCAGAAGAATATGAGGATACGAGTTTGGCAAGTAGTTACAAACAAGTTTTGCCAATTCTTCGATGTCTCTCTTATCAAGTAAGCATGAAGAGATCCATGTTTGATGACTTCTAATTAATCTTGGCTTGTTCATTCCCGTTGACATAATCTTGTTCATTCCCGTGGCTTGTTCATTCCCGTTGACATCACCAAATCCCCTACAAAGTCTCAAATTTCTCCAAAAAAAATTTCATTCATTTGCATAAACGGGCAATTTTCAATAGAAAAAAAAGATCTTGGAGATTTCCTTTTCCCTATTTTCCATTCTCGTTCCCTGTTGCCAAATCGAGCTTCCTAGAACGCTAATTGGGGAAATTTTCCGCGCATTTGCAAACATTTTTTTTTCTTTTTTTTCTAGCCTTTTTGCATTTTTCTCTTATCTAAATCAGAAAAATTCAGTTCGATTTCAGTTTTTTCTTTTAATTTTAAATGTTCAAGTCTTAAATTTAATTTGTCTGACCAGAAATCTGGTTCTGAGCTGGATTCTTGCCTTGCCTTGGAAACTCGGTTGGTTTGTTGAGTCTTGCCTTGCCTTGGAAGCTGTTGGTTCGTTGGTTGGTTGTTCGTTGTTTCGGTTGGTTCGTTTGAGATACGTTATCGCAGCTTGGCCTAGCTGTTAGTGTTAGACGTACACACTATCATCAGAATTGTACCAGACGCCCTTTATTCTGAGTAAGGCCAAGTAAAGCTAGGCAAGAAGCCAGGTCTAGATCCTGGAATAGCTTTTGTTCTTGGTTTTGTTGCAGACCAGAAGCCAGACCTGTTGCTGCAGACAGCCAGACCTGGAGTTGGCTTATTCAATCTTTGACCTATCCTTACTTACAATTGGAACATCTCTTGATAATAGAGGAGTTCACAGTATGAAAATGAGTCACTACTTACTTCTAGATCTGCTTAATATTAATTTATAGTATCTACAAAAGATACTTTGTGTTTCAAGAATTGAAAACACGCGCTTTCTATCGCACTCCTTTTCCGCAGCGAGTAAAATGGAGCCCAGTGAGAAAGATGGCAACTTCAGTGCACTAGAAGGGGTGTATTTACGTTCTCAATTAGACAATGCACTATAGAACTTGCATTTTTTAAAATGCTCATTTCGTTAGCTAAATGAGCCTATGTTTCTTTTGGTTAAAAAAAGGCAAAACTTTGCCTCAGTGACGTCTTTTCTTGTCCGGTGACTTCAAAAATGGAGAGTTTCTCGAGAACTCTCAACGCTCCAAAAGTTGTGAACTTTCTCAAGTTTTCACAAAAAAAAAAACGCCTCTTCTTTCCTCCCACACATGTGGTCATAATTAGAATGCAATACTTTTTACATGTTCTTTGAAGTTATTCAAGATTTCTGTTTGTCTGGATCTGCTTTTAGCTTGACTTTCATGCTTTTATTCTGAAAAATTTGGCTTAAGCACTGAACATCAATGCTTGCCAATTCTTTTGTTCACAGATTACAGACTTGACTTAACAGGTTCTGGATCTAGATCTAGAACTGTTCTGGGTTTAGATCTAGAACTTTCCTTAAGAACTGAACATCAATGCTTGCCAATTCTTTTGTTCAGGAGTCTCCCCATCAGATTACAGACTTGACTTAACAGGTTCTAGATCTAGAACTGTTCTGGATCTAGCTCTAGAACTTTCCTTAA